TTATCTATTGATATACTCGGTATTCAAGAGTAAGCTTAAAATAGTTACTTATATGAAATTCACAATTATTGTCTTTTTTTTTACTTTTGACTCTAATGTTGACGAGAAAAAGTGTATAAAATATCGTGATAGCACGATAACCAATTCATGAAATAATTTTATAAACCTTTTTTTTTTTTTTGAGCTAACGTCTAGTACATCATCTTCACGGTTTACGCATGCTTGAGAAAAGAACAAATTATGTTAATATGTGGTTCAAAAGGCAGTCGGGCATATAAGTAAACAGGTCAGATGAAGACCACTTATCGTTCTAGAAGCACAACACAATATATTCAAAAAGAGGTCAAGTAGCGACAAATTGCAAACTCCACTAAAAAGAAACGAAACAAATATTAAAACACCCGAAACGAAATTATTTAGATCACTCGACATACCTTGAGTATAATCAAACACCTGACTGTCATTGTACATCAATCTAACAAAATGTGGTATTTATTTTAGATCGTATATCTGGTTTCCGTATTTTTAAAGAAGCTAAATCGCTAATATTTGGGACCTAGAAATTGACACAAATGGGTCACTGCGCATGTAATAATGTAATATGAATGTATATCAACTGATTTACATTCAATCGTTACCGTTTTACTCTAATTTCAAATCAGTTATATTCGGTGAAATACACCAGAAGTCTCAACCAAACGGCAGACTATAGCGTCTAGTTATTGCAGTCTACACCGATAATATTTATTGGACATGCCCCCAGATAAGAATATGACGTCACCGTTTGACATGACTTGTGGAATATCTTCTCTAGCCTCGTTCTTCGAGTCCCTTGTTAAAAATGGCGCTGAAACGCATTATGGTACACGATTCGTGTACCAATGGTAAACTGTTTATTTTGTCTTAAATATTGGATATCAGAAGCCCATCATTTCCCGGTAAGATCACAGCATCAGTGTTGATTAAAATTGACAAAAAATTCGTGTTTCCAATGTCGAAGATTTTGGATGATATTGAGTTTGAGACTTAGCTACTTTAAAGATAATAGAAATGAAATGATATGGGGTTTAACGCCTTGCTGTTCTGCACCGACTGGGCTAATGAAAATAGGTATAAGCCATACAGTGTGCTATTAAACAAATACTACAGATGTGATGTGTGAAATACTGGACTTGAGTATATAATGTCCTAGTTTTGTCATGAACAGAAAAAGAAGTACGCTCCTCCTATACCGAACTTTCCCTTTGAACAAACTGCTCATTTGATATAAATCTTGTTGTGCATGGCGAACCGGAAATCAGAAAATAACGACATTCCCTTTTTTTTGAAACGCATTCCAATAGTTACGAATATTTTATTAAATTTCTGAGACGAGGTAGCTCAGTGACTAGGAAGTTGGCTCGCTAACCTGGAGGTCCCGTGTTCAAACCCTGCGTTGCACGAGAAAGCTCATCGGGATTTTCCAGTGTTGTTTCCCCTTGTCAGTGGTGCATCACAGAGGGCCTGGCAAGGGACAACGTATAGTCGTTCGGATGGAACAAAAAACGAGATCCCGTGTACACATTAAAATGCACGTAAAAGATCCCTTGGCAGTTGGAATTCGATAGTAGGCCGTAGCCGCGCGCAAAATTTCCCTCATAGAACATTGTATAGCGTAAGCCCGTCTTCACTAGCCCAGTCGGAGCAGCACAGTTGGACGTTAAACCCCATTTCATTTATTAATTTTCTGTATTAGATGGTATAATTTAGATGTTAAGAAATATGAGTCGTGTGCGAAGGCTAAAGCACGAGACTGGGGTTATGCAGGGGAAAGAAAGGCTGAAGAAAATAACAGAGAAAAAGAAAAACCGAGGCCAACAGGTCGAGGTTTTTCTGTCGAGGGTTTGTCCTGAAGTCTCTCTACTCCAGCATAAAATAAGTCGATGACTTTATCTTGCTTATAAACCTTATATCATGTCTTCTTATGGAACAAAAACCTACCCTGGAAGAATAAACTGTTACAAGTTTAAAGAAAAACTTTCAGAAGAATAACCCCAAATTCGCTGTATATATCCAAAGCCGCCCCGACTTTCAGGCCGCAAGTTATTCCGGGCAAAGATCAAAGATATAGGAATGTGTAGCAATGGTGACAGTCCGTGCTACAAACAAAACACGCATGGGTTATCTCAATTATGAGATAGGACTTTAACACGTCCGTTTGTGTAATGTCATATTTCATATTCACTCTTTATTTGTACTTCTGTGAGAGTATGGCACTAGTCGTAGTCGTTCGGGTGGGACTATCAACCAGTTCCCGTGTATACCATTAACAGCTGTCCGGGCAAAATGTCCCCCGTGGCACACGCATGTCGTATGACGGATTCATAAGATACTTCAATATGTCCCCATGCGATAGGACTTCAGGACACTGACGAAGTCATTTTGTAGAACGAAAATAAATGTATAACTATGTTCATTACGCACAGGGGTCTTTAGAAGTAGGAGGGATACTAGTGCACCTGTAGAAAACCCACGAGGTTAGACAGGCGACCCTTCTAACCCAGGATTGAATACGTGACCATATTCTCTCACCACCATCACCGAGCACACGTGATGTGCATATTTTAAGTATACTTAAGAATTTCTATAATAGCTAATGATGTTCGGATTGAGTTGATCTTCATTCAGGCGTGTAGTATAAGAGATGATAATGGCGAATTCGAGATTTAAAGAATGTATTTAGAGCGTAGATTTCTCCACCCGTTTATTTCATCTATTCAACTCAATTGAAACAAAAATAGAAGCCTGTGTCACGATTTTTATTCAGCATGTAGGCCGCATTTGATAATGACAATAGTGACAGAATACTGTATTATCGTGCATTTGGACAAAGTAAATGTCTTCACTATATAATTATTATTTTGAGATTGGTTTTGTGCAGTAGAAAGTTAAAGCAATTTTGTTATAAGCTTCGGTAAAAAAATTCAATAGGAGTTTATAATTAAATAGGCCTACATATAGATGTATTTAACAAAATTTGAAATACATTCAAGGTTGAAATTATTTGCGATAATCCTCATAACTTAGATATTATATTAATGTCATCATGCCTCGATGTGGTTATGGTTGTCGTAACTTTGCCTCTAAATATGGTCACAGACATTCAGGCAATTATTGAGCTTATATCTATTCCACTTTTTTTAACATTTGTGATTTTATTAATACAGGAATCAAAGACTAATATTCCAATCTATAGTACCAACAATGTGACTGACATTGTCATTATTCCAATCTATAGTGCCGACAATCTGACTGGTATTGTCAATATTCCAATCTATAGTGCCAATAATCTGACTGGTATTGTCAATATTCCAATCTATAGTATCAACAATCTGACTGGTATTGTCAATATTCCGATCTGTATTGTCAATATTCCAATCTATAGTACCAATAATCTCATTGACATTTTCGATATTCTAATCTATTGTGGCACAAATCTCACTGATACATGCATTATCAATATTCATAATAGTCTTCGACAAAACTAGGAATGCAACTTTTTTGGGTGTATTCGGTCAAATCTTGATCTGGTTATATTCGGGCACCAATAAATAAATAGGGGCATCCTAACCTGTTCGCGCCCCCGCCCGTCTCACAATAAAATAGTTCTTTAAGCCTATATGCTCACCTTAATCCGCAAATTATTATAATAACAAAACTATTAGTGAAACAGTGCAGCCCCACAATATTGATATAACGTGTCGGATACCTTTAGATATGGGAAAACTAATTCATTTCCTTTTGTTGGTTAATGTCCTTGAAGACACCCGATACAATGTATTTTGGCGGTGTTTTTAATTCCCAAACATTTAGATTTATGAGTATATATTTAATACTTTTAAAGTTTAATACTTATATTAGTGGGATTTTTTTGTAACACATGTGTATATAAAGAAGTTTTGTTATTTAAATGTTTATTAATTCAAAACACAGAAACAGACACGTTTATTGCTACTGCGTGAAATGTAATGGGGTCTATACGTCCTACTCTTCTGCTCCTACTGGGCTAATGGACTGCGTGAAGTTACGTTTTAAACAACTTTCTTTTTTTAATTTTATTGTTACTTGGCGACAAAACGTTTAATTTTTATGGTAAGTTATTTCTGGGTTGTGTCAGTTAACACCGTGACAACGTTAAACAGTTGTCATCCCATGCTCCCGTATCCTGCCTGGGTCACAGATCATCTTGTTAGATATATTTGTTCGGGTCTGTTCTTACCTTGTTTTGCTGCGCAGATCGCCAGCGTTGTCTATACGCATAATACTCTTAGAGATTGCCAATCAGATTAAAACACAGATCTTATTTCGTTTTATTTGTCGGTACTACACTAGGATCTGGAAGAGTTGTTATATAACCTGCGTTCTGGATGGCGTGATGGATTAGCCAATGAAACCATCTGTTACGGCGAATTCTTGGCGTGTCATGCACGGAACTGTGGGTAAACGACTGGAAACGTCAACGCTGATTGATTAATCAATGTCTGACGCCATAGGGTCAAAAGCCGTTCATACAACCTCTGACGCGACCTTTTACTACAAATGGTCGGATCTTCATGTAGTGTAGGCCATCGAAAGTATAAAAAAAAACGAAACGAAATATAGATCTGTATTTTAATCAGATTGAGAGATTGTCCAATTTTGTTCGTATCCACTCCTCCCGTCCACCGTTCCTCTGTATATATATATTGCGGCCTTCCACTATGTTACCCTTGTACCTAAATACTACGCTTTTCATTAATAAATATCAATAAGATTCATGATAAAGTATGATGCCAATTTTACATACTAGTTAAAGGGGCTTGGGGCGGTGCATGCTACTTTTTTGAGGAGGTCGGTACGTTTGTTTTTCTGCATTTCTGCCAGGAAAGTACCACAAATAGTGTAGTTTGATATCGTCGGATCTGGTTTGTTGACATATGGATACTGTACACAAACTAAAAAAAAACATCTCATCATTTCAGGGTCCCAATGTGCTGAGTAGACAGGAGAGTGTTGCTGTAACCAATACGGATAGTCCTGTTACAGCTTTTGGAAATGACAAAGATGATGACACCTATAGTGTTTCTGAGATTACCTCGGTTGATGAAAAACAAAACGATAAAGGCAAGAAATCACAACCGACGAATTTTGCAAATGCCACGTTTTCCAAAGCACCACCAGAACTTAAGAGGAAGGTATATTGAATATTGATTAGATTGATTATTATGACAAAGGGAGGAGATGGCCAACCCTCTCTTCTCATGACACCGTTTTGCATTTTACCCATTGTTTTATTATTACTTAGTCATATGTGAATTATAATTATTAACTCGGCAGCCTGTCCATAATATCATATGTATGGACGTTAAATTTGTAATAAACAACACCAACACCATTAAATTCAACATATATTCATATTTTAACAAGCTGTAAGTTTAATTGACAAACACATCACTTACAGTAGATACCCCCAAAACATTAAAACCCTTTTCTATTAATTTTAAAACATGACTTCATTATACAGTTCTGAAACAAAAGTTTCATAAATATTATTCGAACTGTTTTTTTAAAAACAACATTAATTAAAATAGATTATTAACAGTCTTATTTTTTTATTTTTTTTTTAAAAACTGATTTTCATAAATTATTTTAATTTTTTAAAAAATCAGTCTTTTCTTGGATCAACTGGAGAATATAATGAAAATGGTAAAGGAGGCGATGGTGACGATATTTCCAATGGAACCGAGAGTACGATATCAGAAGTCAGTGCTGTAAATGATGATATACCGTCAAGTTTTGCCGTATATGCCAAGACCCTATTTTACTGTAAAACGACCCACGTGTATTCCTGTTCACCCTTGCCCCAACCTTTATTAGAAAAGCCGGACAAGGCTGATTATCTGGTAGGTTTTAATGATTAGTGTAAGATTGTGTCAAACCATTTAATATACCGTTTGGATTATGTGTTGCTCCTTCCTAGTTTATAATGATGAATGTTTACAACACTACTACTTTCACTGTACTTAATGTCCGTTTCCAATACAGTTATCAACCCTTACATGTAATATGCTTATTAAACATGCATTATGTAAGAGGTAATTCTGACAGTTGCAGGTCTATCTTTATGTCTGTTATATTATCTAATTTATTAATTAGACATTAATTAACTTATCTAGAACATAAGCAACGCTCGATATTAAGTGGATTTGAATACGCTTTAAGATTGATAATTTAACGTAAAAATGGATAATCGAGACTTTGTTTATTATCGTACCAATGTTAGTAATGTTGACTGAAATATTCAGCATATTCTGTTTTCATTATCTATTTTTCAACTATTTAAGCGAGAACTGTCAGCTCTTTATCTATTCCTACCTCATGCCCATTTAAACAAGACATTTAATTAATTTATGCAACACCATGATTTCTATTTTCAGGCATCTTTGGCAGCATGGGTAACAATTTTACGAATTATGGGCGATCTTCCAGAGAGATTGTCAGAAAGCGATATAACTATACAGGGGGTAAGTCGAGCTATAACTGTAACTGATTTTTGTGTTCTACAGTCGACATAATAAGCAAAAAAAGAAAAGAAAATATAATCGTATAGAACTTGTCCAAACAATAATCAAAATAGTAAAGGAGATCATGAAAATTTAACAGTTTTTTTTAAGTTTTTACCTTCTTTAATATGTCGAGATATCTTTTCAGGAGGAACCATCTGTGGTTTCTAAGGTGAAGGGTTCGTACAAGATTAGATATACCAAGAAGGAGATCGACGATGCCCAGAAAAAATATTCAGAACTCGTAAGTTCAAACATCAATTAATAATGTAGGGTTATCTCCGCATTACTGTCATATAATATCGATAAATTAAACACGGATGGGTCCATGCCCAAAAGAGTGGATTTAACCTAGCACACATCTTTAGTGGTCTGTTTAAAAGAATTATCAAGAAACCCAACTGTGGTAAGCTAATCGGTAATTAGGCGATAAATATTTATTATTATCCCGTTGACCAATTAGATTTGTTGTATTATATTCGTGTGCTGTATGTTTGGGGATATTGGGGGTTTACTTTGTTTGTTTTTTTGGGGTTATTTGGCACCTGTGGTGCTCCATATATTAGGTTATTATGGTCAAATATATTTTTCAGTTTCGAGATCCCATGGGCACTGGTTTGAATGGAATTCCGTTTTTATATGATGGTAAAGAAACCATGTTGGAGAAAGTACAGTTTATCTGTGCTTTAGGTATATACAGAACAGATTTAAGGTACAATATATATTTATTTTATTCTCATCGAGGGGTTTGAAATGAAAGGAAATTTTATGGGGTTTAACGTCCTGTACTGTTCTGCATTGCGGGATTTCGTAGTGAAAGGGTCCTTTAGTATGTTAATGAATTTTTGAACACTGTCATTTGTATAGCCCCGGTCACTTGGTTAATCCACCATGGGTCAGTTAAAGTCATCGAGACTATGTTGGAAACCTGACTCCCATTACTATAAGCATTTTAAAAGATATTGTTCAGTCGTTTGAATATATACAAAAAAAACAAGAAATGAAATGATGTACTATATGATTTCTAGACATGGGTAGGGTAGTTTGCATTATTCGTATAATTTCTAATGTTTTACGGCTAAACTGTACTTTAATTGATTAGTAAACTTTTTTTTAAAAGAAAATACATATCAACAGTAAGCAATCTCACGGTTAGATTGTAATCGGATTTAAAGCCTCTGCGGCTTTAAAAAAACCATACTCACAAGCTAGTTCATCTCCTTTAATATGATATGTATGTAATATATTTTATTTTTATTTACAGGGATGAATTGTATTGTCAGCTATGTAAGCAACTGTCCAATAATCCGTCTAAAAATAGTACAATCCGGGGTTGGGTCCTAATGCAGTTGCTGGCTGGAAGTTTTATGCCCACTGAAAAGGTAAAACATTTAAAATATAATTACATATTAAACCGTACGCATGTATTTATTTTAAAAAGTAAAAAGAAATAAGATATAACAAGCTAATCAACAACATACTTATAGTATACATACTTACACACTGGCTACACATAAACAAAATTCATTTTTGCGCACTTTTATTACACTTTTTAACTGATCTAAAAAAAACTTCTGCTGTTGTGGAAAAACACGAGAACAATTTCAAATATGTTTTAAAATAAGATATCGATGTTACTAACCCCGTATTATATGTATTGGGAGTGCTATCTTTTATTAATTTTTTTGCTGCATCTGAATGTAAGGAACAATGTAAACGAAAATTATGCTAGCTTCCCACTATCGAGATTCGAGTAATCGTCGTGATCCTATCAGGTCTTATCGTATTGTGGTCAGTCGTAGCAATCGTGATGATCGTATCTAAACGTATCCGAACGTATCTGCACGTACAAGATGGTGGACTCAACAGGGACAATCCTATCGTAAAACATCGCACGACCCTGGGAATCTAGCATTATCGAAATGACCACAATCCAACTGTATTCGTAGATCCATTACACACCACTGTTTGTTTCTAGGACAAGGGAAAGATAACTCTGCAAAATTAACTAGGTTAATATAGGTCTGTTTTTGGAATACAAAGATGTAACCTTTTATTTTTAAGTTTGCAGCCTGTTTACGTGGATTTTTAAGAGAAGGACCACGAGAGTTGGCCCATAAAGTTGATCGTGTATTACGTCGAACGTGCTGTGTTGGTACAAGAGGTTTCCCGCCAAGTTGGTTGGAATTCCAGGTAGGTCTATCGTTTTTCCATTTGTAACAGTGACTCCGTGATGGGATACAGTTAATCTCAGTTATAACACTGACTTATAATACTGGTTGAACTACATGGTGGCCTCATGTATAACACGGTGGTCTCTGTTATAACGCGGGTCTAGTCGTGGACAAATCGATCGCCCAAATTATAACATGGGTTTGGTGACAGGCTATAGCTAGTCTCAATTATAACGCGGATTTAGTGATAGACTACAGCTAGTCTGAAACATAACGCGGATTTAGTGATAGACTACAGCTAGTCTGCAATATAACGCAGATTTAGTGATAGTCTCAAGTATAACACGATTTAGTGATGGACTATAGCTAGTCTCAAATATAATGCGGGTTTGAGGAATTACTATTTTATAAGATCGGCTTGATCGCCGCCTTGGCCTCTGGACCAATTATCTTCTACGCCAGTTCGTTTCCCAAGTCTAATACGGTATCGGTCAGTTGACCTGTCCCATATCGCCTGTTCTTACTAATGATTACATTTGACGATAAAGGAGAGTGTGTCTCCTTAACTGTTTGTGATAATATGTGTTATTTGTGAAAATGGTTGATATCCCAGTAAAACAAGTTTTATTATATATTAATTATTCAGGCAGCAAAGAATGGTAAACCTATTCTATTACCAGTAACGTATATGAATGGTCATCGTTCTCTAGTAGAAGTAGATGCTGCTTCAACAACGAAAGAAGTATGCCGTCAATTGGGTCAGGTGCATAATATTCAAAATGACGACGGTTTCTCTGTGTATATATCGCTATATAATAAGGTGAGTGTATGTATCTCTGTGTATATATCACTGTATAATAAGGTGAGTGTATGTCTCTCTGTGTATATATCACTGTATAATAAGGTGAGTGTACATCTCTCTGTGTATATATCACTGTATAATAAGGTGAGTGTATGTATCTCTGTGTATATATCACTCTATAATAAGGTGAGTGTATATCTCTCTGTGTATATATCACTGTATAATAAGGTGAGTGTATATCTCTCTGTGTATATATCACTGTATAATAAGGTGGGTGTATCCGTAAATTCTGAAGACTGCATTATCCGAAGAAGAGGTATAATTACCCCTTGTAGTGTAATTACCCACGTCAAAACACACGTATTTCTGAGGAAATGCATTACCAAAATAGTCTTTCTAATGTATCCTATTAGTGCACAAGCACCAGACCTACCTGCTTCCCGTCTGTGCGTGGGTTCCAAGTGATAAATCTATCTAAGTTTTAATATTATCATTTCCAAATAACCTCAGAATCAATTTATTGTCGGAAATGACCCACACTTAGCGGGAAAAACACTAAATATGGATAGAACGCGTCAATTGAAAGTTAAAACGGCTATATCTCAGCAATGGCTTGGTAGATTTGCCTTACATTTCACACGCAGTCTAATTTGAACATCCATTTGTTTAGTTCCAACCAATAAATGCACACATCAGAATGTCATTGCTTGTTTAAAAACTTACGTCTTATATTTAAGACGGTCCAAGCCAGTGTAATGATTGTTTTATTAATGTATTTCAGATATCCTGTCTTGGTAATGGTCATATAAGAATCATGGATGCTATATCTGAATGTGAACAACACACACGAGGAATTGGCATGAGAGAAAGTAACTCGGGATGGAGATTATTCTATAGAAAAGAGGTGTTTAGTCCGTGGCATGATTCAAAAAACGATACCGAGGAAACAAATCTGATTTATGAACAAATTATGCGAGGAATTACTTTGGGAGAATACCAGTGTGAAAAGGTAAGTATTTAATTTAATGTGGTAGGCATCTGGAAGAATTATTAAAAGCGTATCTTTAAAACAAGACTAGCATAATGAAAGAAATAACAGTAGCTCAGACAAAATGTTCATTCTTCAAACGAAATTGTCTTTGTATCCTATTTAATTTAATCCAATCGTCTTCCTTGGATCATTAACCTATTCATAAATGAAATGAAATGAAATAAGGTTTAAAGTCCTACTTGGTTAATGAAGAAGGGCATACGCCATGCATTGTGCCCAGAAAGCGGCGCTACGGCATACTCTTATTTCGAATTCCAGCTGTCCAAGGAACCTTCACACCGGACCTCGGGTAGGACGTGAACCCCAATTTCATTTCATCATCTGAACATTCGAACGATGGGAGTGGCATTCGATTCGAGTCCTATAGTACATAGACAGCTGCAGATCAAACAAGGTTGTTGACCCCTTTATGGTGACGAGGCATTAAACCCCATTCCATCACTTTATATAAAACTTTAATGTCCTGTGTCTCTGAAGGAATCTGTGGATATGTTCGATTTATTTGTGGTCTTTTAATTATATTTCAGGAAAATGTATTAGTACTGTTAGCAGCTCAAAAATATTATCTGGAATATTCCGTGGAAGTCGATGACCACAAATTAGAGATGATGCTTCGAAATTGGATGCCTCAGGATAAGAAAAATGAAATGAGTATGGACTTGTGGAAGGAGAAAGTCAAGGCTTCTATTAAAAATAACTTTGAGGATAAAAAGCCGGAGTGCGAGTCTCTGAAGATCGACATTGTTACTTTTGCTATGGACAAATGGTTCCTGTTGTATTCCCGTTATTACGACGCTTCTAAGTTCGTAGATGGTAATACAACTTTAACTGATATTGTGGTAGCTGTCAATAGTAAAGGTGTTCATGTGCTGGATACCACCGAGACGATTCGTACCCATATAGCGTATATAGAGATAACCTGTCTTTCAAAATGGAGGTAATGATTTATTAAGTTTTGTCCTACTGGTTTGTTTTTGTTAGAAACGAAATGTTTTGCCGCGATCCGGTTGAAGGAACAACCGGGATCCATTTTGTATGTATTGGTGTGCTTATACCACAGGACTTATGGGTACCAACCGCGCTATGCTATAAGGAGGGGATCAGATCGGCTAAGTGAGTAATTAAGACACTGGCCCGTTAGTCTGGAGGCCGCGGGTATGATCCCGGTGTTGGCCGCGACAGTTCATCGGGATTTTCCGGCGGGGCCTGAAAAGGACAGCTGTCTAGTCGTTCGAATTGGACGAAATCCCGAGGTCTCGTGTTTTCATTGGCGTTCATGACAATGCGTACACGAGACAAGACATGCATTCCAAAGAATGTCTTTCAACGATTGGTTTGTATTGCTCAGTCTTTAAATATGTAATGATGTCCTTGCTTTTCAATTCATTGAGGCTCGAGGTCGATGGTTCCACCCGGGTGTTGCAGGACTGCATGATGGCATGGAAGATATTCTAATCGGTTGCTTGGGACAAAACCAGAGTTCTCTTTGCACAGTGGCCGTCATGTAAAAATAATTTGGCAGATAGAATTCCAAGAAGAGTAGTCTGTCAACTGGCGTGGTTTCGAATTTCCTGTTGTACGTGACAAGGAGTAGGGTCGCCTGCCCAACATCTTCGGTTTTCTCCGGGTCCTCCGACCCCTCCCCCCCACCGCCGCTGCTAAAGCCCCCTACGCGCAAGCGAATTATTGAAATAAAAGTGAACCATAGGTTAGTCCTGAAATGACTTAGTTTGTGTGGAGTGGACGTTAAACTCATTTCTCTTTCAACACCTATAAATATGGGACTAAATTATTTCTGAACTAGTCTGAAACCTGTAACCTTGATGTTTTATTTCAAGAAAATTATTTGGTGGTTTTCTGCTTATGAAATGCAAACATTCCATAAACTATTATAACATTTATTTCTACAGACATGCTGTTACTATATCGACGGTAAAAGGTGACAGCTATGTTATGACATCAATGCACGCAGATGATATGTTTTCTTTATTGAGTGAATTTGTGGATGGTTTGAGAGATAGATCTAAATATGCTCTAGTTCTACAAGATACAGCACAATATGGTAAATATAGTTCTTAATGTCTAAATGATTCCGTCTTGTCAAAACTTTATATTTCTACAATGATTGTTTTACTGAAGATTATTATTTATATTAAATGAGTTTCATTTAGATGACATTTTTTTTGGTGTACATATACATTTGCAATTTATAATGCTGCCTCTTTGATGTAAGATGATCCGTCCACATACGTGTTGTTTCTCAATGTTTTACTGGATATTTTCATTCGGGCTACATCTGGATGTTGACTATTGATTAGATCGTCTTTGATTATGTTTTAATTTGTATACTTGAGTTGTGTTTTTCTTTTTTTATACTTAAGTTGTGCGTTTTCAACTTTTATACTTAAAATGTGTGTTTTTATATCTTATGCTTGAGTTGTGGGAGTGTTGCTTTTTATACTTGAATACTGTATTTTTATTTTTTATACTTGAATACTGTATTTTTATTTAAGGATCACTAGATATGAGTTTAGTAAAGGGTGATCTGGTTGTGTTAGATAAACCGAATAAAGAATATGAAGGATGTGACGTATTTAGTGTGAATTGTCCCAGGACTAGTAAATCTGGTATGTTACCTAGAGATATATTATATATACTACCTACTACAGAAGAACCCAAATCTAATACCCTGGTGAGTAATATTTTTTAGAGGAAACCATGTGTAACCCATACCACGTTAAATTTCCGGTATCACGGTATCCCCTTTGAATGGGTGACTGATCATTGGGTTGAACAAAGCCTACATAGTTGCTAAGTATCCTTTCCGTTGTTGCGGTTTTGCCTGCTTTTCCTGTGAAAATATGTCTCGGAGTGCTTTATGAACAGGACAGTGTAGTTCGGCAGGCTTTAAAACATAGGAATCGACACTTAGATCATGCAAATCGGACAACTACAAATACTTCTAAGCAAAACATCAACTTCGGGTGGCCATTTTGCCGGCCATCTTGAAAAACGGCGGCCATCTTGGATTTTCAATTGGCCAATCGGGCATATTTGATTAGTATCTCTTGGAGAACAATTGTGCCAAATTTGATATTTGTATCATCATTTGCACGATTCTTCCCAAAAATTGCTATTATCTGCTCCACTTTGGTTCCTCCTTGTCAGTATGGCAGGACCGAGGGCCAGGCAAGGGACAACATATAGTCGTTCGGATGAGATATGTTGGCGTGTACACATTGGCGTGCTCGTAAAAGATTGCCGGTGTCAGGGCAAAATTTCCCTCATAGCACACTGTATGTCGTATGCCCGTCTTCATTAGACCAGTAGGACGTTAAATCCCATTACATTACTATATGTTAGTCTCAAAACAACCGAAGTATCGTATAAACCCCCATTCTATTCCATTACAGGCTATGCTGACAACTCAACTCAAGAAAGATGTCAACCAATTTGTAACAACCGAAGATTCCAAACAGCATACACTGGCCTTGTTTGCTCGTTATCATTTTAGACAGGGTACTGAAAGTACTGTCAGTAAACTCTTATCTAAAGCATCTTTTAAGAAAGATAAGAATGGAGCTATCTGGGCATATAGTCGAGATCCTATAAAGAAACCCCTTCTTAAAAAATCTACTGACCGAAACGACATCAGAATATTTGCAATTAGATCCTTCCTAGATATCCTTTTTACATAATTACTTGAATTTCGTTTTATGTGAGCTAGACATTCGGTTAATTCAAACACCCCCACCCCTACCCCATGTTTAGGCCGGAAAAGATCTTTGAGATCTGTCAAGCACTATGTTCCCTGATGTTAGGAATGATTTTCACCGGACTATGGTAGCTGTTGTGGCACAAAAGATTATACATATTTTTATCAAGCTATGAAAAATAAATCGCCTTATTAAAAAAATAAACACTATACGCTTGCTAGGTATATAATTTTTAGAATTGCCGATGCAACTTCTAACTTATAAATAGAATATCTTGAACAGCGGATACCACTTCTAGCTTAGTTAACACATAGTTCACTATAATCCTTGACATATGTTACCTCTTCAACAATTTATGGGAGACTCTGTAATACCAGATAACAGAACAACAGTAGAAGTGGCTAACGAATACATCATGGAACAGGTCGCACGAAATGTAAGCATATTTTATTTGAATTCACGGCGCACGATCGTTAAAATCTAGGCCTACTTCAAGCTAAAGATATGTAACATATAAAATAATGCCTATTATTATTGTGCAAATATGCAGATCGGACTGTTTCAGAAAAATTGGCTGGCTTGTGTAAAAAAGATATGTAATTAGGCACATGCGGGTATAAGAAAAACATCGATGAACAAACCCTGACCTTTATTCGGGTACGATATAGGTGCGTTATTGTTACATCATTTGTCTAAGATATAGATGGCGGCGTTAAATCAGTGTAATGTTTAATTGGCTAATTGGTCGATTTGAATAACCTATAAGTAAAAATGCTTTAGTAAGAAAGTTTGAGTGTGTGTTGGCCTCAAAGTAATCATTGGCATATGTTAACACGACAGAAACAGCATTTATGCGAGTTGTTTTGTTTTGGTTTTTTTAATTAGTAGTGGGTTGACTTTGTCATCTATGGGCTTTCATAGATTTCTTCTAAAAATATTATCAGTAGTGTCTGTTGTTGTTTTCTTAATATTGATTTATTTTGATACAGAGATACCTCCGGGAAGAAATATTCTGTCAGATTATGAAACAGCTAACAAATAACCCTAACAAGTGAGTGTAAACTGTGATTAACATATAACTTTATTCACAGTTTTTAAAAAATAATATTTAGCACTTCTGACCAATCACATTAATACAAAGAGATATTCGAAAATAATTCTACTGATTTGACCCAGACTGGCTTCCATTCTATAGATAATATTAGAATACATCGAAATGAAGTTTTAAACATGTACCTTAGGGTCGTAGTTTCGATAAATTGTGCTTTACTATTCTTGGTTACGTCGAATATTATTACCCCTGTTTTATTTCCGTGTGGTTGTTTTACAGAATAAGCTGTGATAAAGGTTGGCAGTTGTTTTATTTTGTGTGTGGTTCAACTCTACCCAGCTATGAGATGCAACAAGAATGTATCAAGTTTTTACGAACCAGTAAACATTATATGGCAAAACATTGTTTACACAGGCTACGGATGGCTAAACGGTATGTAATGTCATATTTATTCTTGTTCAAATTGACCATATTCGGTAGTAGTTGGTGGATAATCGATGGTTTCAGTAATTCAATTTTTTTTTTAAAGATATGCCATATTGCTTATATTTGTTTTTTTGTTTTAGGAAGGGTTGTCGATTGTTCCCACCACATCCAATAGAATATGAAGCTCTGTCCAAATCTCAGTTTTCAACCCCTGTTGATATTTTTATGCCGGATGGTTCAAAACAGGTATTTATTCCACATTTTTTCTTTATGTTAGTATTTTTATAGGACACGAACGAGCATTTCCCGCTCATTACTCGTTGTTACATCTGGTATTAATTCTGAATTATTGTTTTCATTGAGCCGATTTTCCTTGGAAATTGCATCACCCCACCCATTTGTCAGTAAAAGTCCCGGATTTCGGGCACTTCATGAGCTAATTGTCATATTTTCCCTTTTAAATCCACTAAAAATTTTATGTTTTTATCATTTAACCAGGTCCGAAAAATTTGATTTTCGCCCGAAAAAAAATGTTTTGCCCGGAGCTCCCCGCTCCCTCCCCAACCCCGGCTCCCCCGACTCGTACGCCTATAATTAATTCTAATACTGATATTAAACCTGTAACTGTTCTACATTACTCAAACCACAAAATGAAATGAAATGGGGTTTAACGTCATACTGTTCTGCTATAACTGGACTAATGAAGACGGGCAGATGCCATACAGTGTGCTATGAGGGAAATTCTGCCTAGACAGCGGCACTACGACCTACTCTTATATCGAATTCCAACTGCCAGGGGATCTTTTACGTGTATCCGGGACATTTGTAAGTCGGCGTACTAAAAAGAGAACTAACTAGTGAGACTACTCGACTGCAGGGAAAAGTAATTGGTGGTCTGCATCCAGGTGTATCATTAGTTAATATTCGAAAACACTGTTTCGGGAATATGTGTACACTCGAGCCTATCAGAAATAACCTTTTATTTCTTTTACAGACAATAGCGGTATCTGCTGATACGAAGATAATTGACATCAAAAAACATATTGGTGTTAAATTAAAACTGAAATCAATTGAAGAATTTGCTCTCTTTGTGACGGCATCTCATGGCAGTAAGTGAATTGTATTTTTCTTACATGACATATAAAACACATTTCACATTTGATAAGGGTTAAATATCCACGTGGCTCAGTGGATACGGTGCTGGCTCATAACAAGACGGTCCCGATTTTGGTGGACGTTTAGACCGCGTTATATTGTTATATTTCATTTTGTCTATTAATTATTGTTATGTGTTTGTTTTTCAGTTTATTCGCTATCATCTCGAGATTATTATTACGACTGTTTGTCACATTATGAAACATTTATAGTTAAACCACGACCTGATAAACCGAGTAAGTATTTCTGTCTTCTATGATTGATTATGTGATTAGTCCGATTGATTGAATTCTCATCCCCTTGATGCAAGATGAAGGCCTGGCAAGGAATAGTTTCTAGTCGTTCGGATGGGACGAAAAAGCGAGACCACGTGTACCTCATTGTGCACAGGTAAAACCCCTGACAGCTGGGATTCAATAGCGAGTATCCGGAAACGCAGCCGTCCGACAAAGGTTCACTCATGCGGGACAAACTGAAATGCGTAGTATACCCGTCACTCAATTTCCGACGGGGTTCAGATCCAGCATTTTGATATTTACATAAGAGAGTCTACCTGTATTCCCATATGATCATAAGAACTTGTATCCCCCCCCCTCCCCACCCCCTCACTCCGTGCTCTTTTTTCAATTTTGTGTTTATGATTGTGCATACACAAAATAATCCTGTGTTTTTTTCTTTAAGTTTCCAAGAACGGTTTATGCATTGTGATGTTAAGGAAATTATGGGTTCATTCAGATGCTGGCGTTGATAAAACTGCTGACATTCACTTTCATTACCCACAGGTAAATTTTTCTTACACAAAGTGTCGTGCACGAGGTACGGTATGTTGATGTCACCCAATTGCAGTTACGAGATTAACAGGGCGAATTGTTATCAGGATAACAGTGAATCTGTAGATGACATGATCTCAGGGCGGAAACGATGGTGGCTCAGTGCGTGGGCTCATATCCCTAATAGAAATTACTCGCCAGTTCATTCCAATTCAATGCATTACTTTTACCTCTCCCCTTTAAGAGACATCATCATCGGTGTAATTAAGTGCGCTAACATTTTAATTCCATCCGTTCCGTCGAAAATATTGGGTATTATTTTTTTTTCATTGATTTCGTTAATAATAGTTTGTGTTTATTTATTTGTTTTAGGAAATTCAAAATTACCTGCAAGGCTTTCAAAAATGTACAGACGCAGTAGCCATAGAACTTTCAGCTTTAGCCTATCGTGCAAACTACGGAGATGACGCAGCCGGATTCAACAAATTTGGGTAACAATTGAATTATTTTTCATAAAACTGTTTACATCGTTTTTAACATCTCATTTTTATGTGTGCCCTGAAAAACGCTTGATAATAAAATTTGTATTTATTACAGCCATCTAGCTGGATCAATCCTACCAAGACCTCTGTTAAGTTCGAGTGGTGCCGATCATTGGTCTCAGGTATGTTAGATAATTTTTATATTGTTTGTAAGTATTACGCATCCTAAGTGTGCTTTTTCAAAGAATCCATTTGGTTTTTCAACAGCCCTCGACCCCTTTCGTCAAATAATGGATAACTACATCAAATTGAAGCTGTAACCCTTTTTAACTCACGTTTGAAAATCATTTTATTAATTCTCCAGTAAATGTTATCTTTATTTTTTTTCAACTTCTAAATTTTAATTTATATACCTCTTATATATTATGAATTTTTTGCTCTATACTGTAAAGCGACATCTGGGCACCTTTATGAATGATGCGCTATATATAAAATTAATAAAGAACTGGAATGGTATTAAACCATCTTTTTCCACTGTAAACACCTGTGTGCTTATGTTAAAGGAACTGCCCATTATAATCAAGACAGAAGTTGTTTATGTATAATATTTGTTTTCATCTTTTCAGCACGTGCTGTCGGAATACCGGAAATCTAACGGAATATCGGCAGATGACGCAAAAATTAAATTCCTTAAAATTGTACAGAAATGGCCAACGTATGGTTCTGTTTTCTTTGAGGTTAAGGTAAGCTCCAGTGTTGGTTTACGTCATATAGGATAAGGATAGCCCAGTTTGAGGTTACGCTAGAATCAATGTTTCCTTAATTGTTGATAGTTAGTACTACGGCGATATCTGGGAACCAGATTACTTTATGTAGACTAAATGTTGTGTGCGTATTAATCTCCTTTGGCGAACACAGCTTACAGACATACGTGCCTACATAGACACAACAACAAATTGTATTTTTGACGGCAGACATGTCTTATTTCACCCCATCTTAGCGTCGAAGCCATTAGGGCGGGGCTGGGGAAAGGGGTAGTCGATTAATAAGGACCGTTGTTGCACGAGAATAACCTTGACATTTTTAAAACCTCGCTCGTGTGGGGAAAAAACACGATTAATGCATTAACACATTGAATTGCATATTAAAAAGAAACAGTTGAAATTCTTGAAAAAGTAGGCGGAATCAGCGATAAGAGGGGCAAAACTTATCAAATTACCATTTCACATGCCATTAAAGTATGCATGTTATCGTTATTACTGATGTATTTAACAAATTAGGAATATAAGTTAGTCTCTATACGGTAGAATTTTGAAATTTTGAAATTTTGATTAAAGTTTAAATTGCAGCCTGAATTTTGAAAGTTAAGATACTGGAATAATGAATATTGACACATTGGGTCTTCATAATTTATGGAAAAATGTTACATTGTTGTATGATTGTTTAAACTCTTTGTAATGTTTCGTTAATACCATCAACGAATTGTGCCTTCCATAATTTATGAAGAACTTTTCCATTATTGTATAAATGTTTAAATTCCTTGTCGTGTTCTATTAATACCAGCAACGAAGTTCGAAGACATTACCAAAAGAAATGTTATTTGCTGTCAATGGCAAAGGTGTCCATTTAATTAATAAAAATTCGAGGGTAAATATATTTATTTATTTATAACAAATTCCAGAAAATGTGAAAATTCTTGATAAAGTGCCAAATTCGGTTGACTTCCAATCTTTTGACTGTTAACCAATATTTCTGAGAACCGATTGATAGTGAGCGGATTGTCAACTTCTAAATGCCGCTCAAAGAGGATATGGTATTAGGGGCGGGGACTGCTGTTAAACAAATGATAGGACAATTGGATTGAGGCACAGTTTTGACAATAGACAACAGGTCATGACATCCTATATTTGTTACTGTTTGTTTGGTCGAGTTGCCAGGCTGAAATATCTTGGGTATCTTTTCGCTAAACGTCTGAACGGATTGGGGTCAGTCTAAAAATTATTAATGAAAAATAACGAAACCTTTTCACCATTGGTTGTGGCTTTACATATAATCTGTTTTAAATCTTTGTTAAATATCACAGGAATTTATAGTGACTCGTGATTTTCTGAAAAATCTTTGTTATATATTCGCTCAGCTCCGGCGATTTTTAGTCGAAAACATTATATATACTTCGAGAATTTTCAGAAGTATTTATTCTGCTTCCATTTAATGGAATTGAATAGGTTTATTTATTCCTTTTTTGTGTGTATGCCAGAACTGCGTTACAAAACAATATGCTAAGTTTTAGATATGGTTGCCATTCAGGACAGAGATTTATTCTCAAAGTATGGAGTAGATAGATCTCTGTGTGCAGAATGGCAGAAAAATAGCATGTTAAACCCCATTCCATTTATTGTTATATATTACAGGAACTTATTGTCACTCATGATTTTACTAAAGTTCCAAATTGGGCGTATGATGATAAATCATTTACACTGATACTACTAGATGGAGCAAATACCAAACATGTCTTACTGGAAACACGAAACGTAAGTTCTAAAAGTTGCTTCTTTAACATCCGAGAGTCTTTTTGGATATGGAAACAGCGTAGATTCTGTGCATACCATCCTTTTGTGAAGGGGTGGGGCGTAATTAGCACGATTCCGACCCTTCGCTGGACTGGTTCTTTTTGGAAAATTCTTTTTGCTGAAGGGGGGGGGGGGCATTCCCCCTCCCCTCCCCCTACTTACGGGCCTGACCCCTACTAGACTCCCCATCACCGACTTGCTTGTCCCAGCAATGTAACTAATAGACAAACTACTTGTTATAAACCTGTTCTTTTACTACTTTACAGGGCCACAATATAGACGACATTGTGATGACGTATATCAGTTATATCATGAATATTCAAATGAAGAAAAAATCAGGCTTTATTGCTTCTTCAGGAGAAAGCCTGTGTTAATCAAAGAAGCTACACTACACCGTACTAGTAGTTAGTATCAATGAGATCACGGAACTAAATCCAATAAGGTACCAATGACAATCAAGAAATTAAGTCAAATCCAGTTGATGTTTGTTTACTTTATGATATTTAGTATAGATTATAAAACAGCAGTAACGTCGAAGATATTTCCATTACAGTGATAACACTCCATAACTATTGGTCATGTGACACTTGATTTGTTTAATTCACCGAACTACTGTGCCCGGAGAGGGCATTAAGCCGCACAAACAAACGACGAATTAAACAACTAGTGAAGATGTATGACCAATCATGGCTTGTTAATACTACTTTTTCGGGTGCAGAGCTTAACGTCCATCGCGTGGTACTATTTCAAGTTTTAGCGGAAACAATAAAGGAGAATAACACGGTTAAATTCTGTTAGGAAGAACCTGAAACGAGCAGCCATAAAAATTCGAAATATAAGCGGTTCGAGTTATGGTATCAATCATGAAGAGCGTGGCCACCTTGATTTTCTGTATGAAACATAATTCTAACAAATCAAAATACATTCCTGGTGTTTCATGTAACTCAGTAGAAATAAGAATATATGAAAATTCTTATGAGAGGCCTTGCTTTGACTAAATCACAATTCACCACAGAACTTAAAATTCGTGATGTGAGGTACATGATACGACATACAACATAATTCTAGCTGTGTTAATCGCCTCGTTCCTTACTAAGAAAATGACATTTTTATAGAATTGCTTGCAATCAAATCAAAAAGGATAATGTGTAAACAATGTTCCCTCTTATTGTTTGTACTCAGTGTGCGCAAAATCTTATAGTGTGCAGATTTTATTTCTGTGACAACAGAACAGTGTGTGCACAAGGTATTTGTACATTGCAGTCTCGATCATTGGTAAACTTGAATTTGTTTCAAGATAATTTTGGCACAATCTACTATCTCTCGCGCCTAATAAAACTGTAATGCCAAATAAAAACAGGTGTCATGTTGAACCAGATCATCGAACAACAATTGTGTGCTAAAATTAATTTCCTGTGTGCGGTTGTCGAAAAACGCACATGTTTGGTAATCAGTGTGTGTAAATATTATTAATCAATTCATTAATAAGATGATATAATCAAAAGGCATATTATACCTTACAGTTCACTATTGTAGGTCATCGATGTTGCAATAATATTTATTAACAAATTTATTTAGTATTTTAGAAATATATATGGCTTTTATATAGCGCAACATTTCAAACTAAAGTTTATTCTGTCTGCACTTAATAAAAACTCATACCCTAATAGCAAATCGTTGCTAAGCGCAATAACTGCACAAATAGAGCTAACTCTATGGTATACCATCTTGCAGTGTGGCAATACTCCGTTTCACATTGGTCACACACACACAGACTAATTAATCCTTTTCAATTTCATTAAATGGAAATGAAATAGGTACTTACTGTATACAGGTCGCGTAAATTTAGTTTGCTAAAACAGGTGTCTGCTGCGTTTGGTTGTTTTTGTTCAACAAAATCCGGGAATTTACCCGAAACGATATATGAAATATAACGTCTATATACTGTTATTAACAAATATTTAAACACTATATATTATACATTTCCTTATATATTTATTATTGTATATACCATCCCATACTTCCTTCTTTTGTTTATTTGCATGATCCTAGACCAGTGGTTATCTACCTTCTTTTGCCAACAGCACACCCTGGAACACAATTATGATAAAATAGCGGCACACCTGGTTAAATATATATGAAAAATATTTGAATTTTGTAAAATGAAAACAGGGCAAGTCATCATATTATAGTCGATCTAAGTCATGTTCTTTTTAGACTAGACATTAAAACATGTTCATTTCAACATTAAGTTGTGGCTATGTTTGTCGGATATTCGTCTTTTAATTCATATTTCTGCAAAGGAGTCGAAGATATTAATATCATGGTAAGTTCTTTGGAATATTTTAAAAGAAATGGTTATAAAATGTAGTAATATAGCGGTTTAAAATGTATCTCCCAAAGAAAGCCACCTGCTAAAATGATAAAGTAACGTATACACTGTATACAAGTTCATATAACATAGTAAGCTATGAATCTCATCCATAATTTACAATAAATATTGAACACCCATTAGTTATATTATGTTTTCATTGAATCAGAATTGAATTGATATGGGGTTTAGCGTTTAACCTTTCTGCTCCAAATGTACGAACATTGGCTATGCAGTGTGAAATGGGTGAAATTTTGCTGAGGCGGGCAGCTGGGTTTTCTTCTTCGAATTCCAACGGTTCTTTTACGTCCACGTTAGGATTTCGGTTTTTTGTTGCGTATGAGCAAATATACGCTTTCCCTGTTAAGCCCCCCGCCACTGAATAGGAGCAAACTTGAAATCCCGGAGAACATTCTCGAACCAATGACCTCGAACCAATAAAAGAATCAGTTACGGAAATAGGAGAGAGAGAGAGAGAGAGAGAGAGAGAGAGGGGGGGGGGGGTAACGTCCACTCGAAATAATTTGGGACTAACATGGTTCAATTTTATTTCAACAATTCGAATGCGCGCATGGGTCTTCAGCAGTAGGAGGACACCGGAGAAAACCCTACGTGAAAAACCTTGTCACGTTCAAGCGGGAATCGAAACCATGCCATTTACTCAATGATAGACCCTCTGATCCAAAACGCACGCGTTAACTATTCACCAGCCCCCGCGGACTATATTCATTATTAGTAGTTGTACCCTCTAAATATAAGTATCGGTTTGTCATCTGGAGATCTCAACTCGCAATGCCTCTGCTAATGCCGATAAGATTGAAATAACTATACATTTCCGTAAGCATCATCGGCGGCAGTTTAAAGGAGCTAAATCGCTAACATTTGGGACCTAGAAATTGACAAAAGTGGGTCGCAACGCATATAATACTGTAATATGAATGTATATAAAATGATTTACATTCAATGGTTTCCGTTTTTACTTCAATTTCAAATCAGTTATGTTCGGCGAAATAAGCCAGCAGTCTCAAGCGAGTGCAAATTTCTAGCATCTGGTTATTCCAGTCTACATAGGCCGTTTGCTTTGGTGCAATGTGTCTAGCCTCGTCCCTCGAGTCTCTTGATACAACTGGGGCTGAAGCGCATTATGGTACACGATTCGTGTACCAATGGTAAAATGTTTATTTTGTCTTGAATATTGGATATCAAAAGCCCATCTTTTTCCGGTAAGATCACAACATGAATGTTGATTTAATTTGACAAATAAATCGTGTTTTCAATGTTGAAGATTTTGGATGATATTGAGTTAGAGACTTAGCTACTTTAATGTATAAAAGTAAGAAGCAAACAAGGGAACAAGAAAACATTCGTCCATAATTGCTACCATCTGCGGCAATGACTAATACTGATAATTATCGTTGCTGATCTGGCATAAGTTTCTTTTTGGGGTTAGGGGTGGGTGGAGTCATCCCTCTGACAACGGATCTGCTATTGTTGTCAGTAATGTTAAGGGACCAGGGACCAGTATACACTTGTCTTTCCCAACTTAGAGGTCCATCACATATTTTTGAGCTTCCGCGATATCAAAGGGGTCCGTGAGAATTCAGTAAGAAGTTGCCTGGTATTCAAACAATGAATTTCCGTGGCGTCAAGAGTCATTTAATTGGGATTGCGATCACCTTGCTCTGGGTAGATGTATCAAGTTTGGGATCAGAATTGCTATTAAGATAGCCGATGTTAGGGTTTAGCAAAGATTTGTATAGACAGCCCTAAATTCTCAAATATTGCAAGTATGACCGTAAAAATGCAAATGTGAGTGTTCGCGTACATTCGTCAAATGTCCCATTCCGGCCCGCGAGTGAAATAATATTGGAACAACCGGATTAGACCAAGCGAATTGGCTAGTTTAAAATCTTTAACTTTTTATAACATATATTATAGAACAGGCCAGGGATAAAAAAAAAACTACACTGAAGACAAATTTGATGATTTGATAGGCCATTTTATTCCGCAACATTCACTGATTTATCACAATAACTTGGAATTTCTGCACGCCAATGATTTTAGTTAATAAGTTTCAAAGTACACGTATATAAAACAGGGCAGGTGTTCTGTTGGACCTAATAATAATATACACTAGAATTATTTCAACAGAGAGGGCACATTAAATGATAAAACCTAGGAAAACGTTGAAATTGTAAAAGGGTTCAGGGTACATAAAATTAGAGTAAGCTATTACTACAAAACTGAGTCCAAAATCATAACCTGATTTAAAAACATTCTTTTTTCATTTGGGTCCTCCATACTTCATCCCCTTTGCTTTGTCATCTACTGGGTTATCTACCATGGTTAAGGCTAGAACTATAACTGTTCCATAATCCTGGCCAAATGCAAAATTTCTTTTTAAATTTAAAATATTTTCAGTTCTTCTTAAAACATGTTGTCTTAACTGAAAAAGGAAATCTAAACATAACCAAAATTTATTTGTATAAACGATTTTACAATCAAGTTAAACTTATCTTATTTACTTTAGTAGAAGAATGAACAAATTTTTCCATAACTAAAATCCTAAATTTTAGCCATGATCTAACTAAACCCTACAATTATAGTCCAGTTCTTACCAAGGTTGTTTAAGGTAGTAGTATGGGCAAAGGGGTAGACCTAATTGATTTACATTACCATTTTTGCACATTCAACCCTTTATAAAAACCTTTAAAATAAAATCAAGTGAAGAACTAAAACAGCACTCCGGTTAGTTAATTAATCCTCTTAAAAAAAAAATGTGAGAAGAATGTCTGCTGCCTTAATCCCAATATAAATAGATGACACTCAAATCACTTAAGACAATTAAAGGTGTTAAGGAATGAAATTATACACCAAGTTCCATCCCTATTACTCAATTAGAATCAGTGTTTTGAAGTTTCAAAGCATCCACAAATCAAAATGTGAGAGTAATGGGGTTTAATGTCCACTCACACAAACTAGTTCATTTCGGGACTAACATATGGTTAAATTTTATTTCCATAATTCGTTTGGAGAAAACCCATGAGATTGGACAGGCAACCCTACACCTTGTGACTTTCAAGCAAGGAATTGAAACCACGCCACTTGACTCAATGACAGACCTTCTGATCCAACGCACACACGTTAACCATACGGCCACCCAACCCACCTTTAACCGTACTTAGAGTATAGAGAGCAAGAATAAATCAGTCAAGACATACATCTAATTCTCATGAATATCTACATCAAGTTTGAACATTTGTAATGCAATTAGAACCACAGTAATTGTTTTCTAAAACCTGTGACAGGCAAAGAGTTGGACCGTTGGACAGACAGGCCCATTTTAATAGTCTCCAGCATTCTCCAGAAAGGCAGCGGACAATAAAAATCTTCTTTAAATAACACATTAAAACCCTGTCCATACTAACTGGCCTGATAGAGGAAACAGGCTATAAGACCTGTCATTCCATGTTAATACATTATCAATAACACTAAGGATTGTATTTCACACCTTAACTACATTCTCACGTATACTAAATAGTTGCTTAGCCGGTTTCACAAGAGTGGTTGGAATCAAGAGTAACCAGGTCCAGCTATCTTTTGATTTTTAAAAATTTATTTATGTTTCAAATATGTCCATACAATCCATACAAGAAAAGTTATTTATTTCTCTTGTAAAGTATTTAAAAAAAAAAAATTTCTCCCCTTTTATGAAGTTCATGCATTTAAATTTCTATAATTAAGGAAGCTATTGTCCCATCATCTCCTGTCTAGCTACTTAAATTACTTATATCTAATGCTTTTATATACTCTTAAGTGATAGGTAATAAAACAAATAACAAATAACATATGAAGCACTTTTACAACAAACTCAGCAAACCTTAGAAGACTCCAGTACCCCACATCTAGCCTCTGCTGTATGACAAAATCCGCCACTGGAACTACATTCAAGTTCCCGGGCGACGCCTTCGACGAATGTTTTATCACACAAAGGTTTCAAAGTCTTTCAAGTTTATCCGATTTTATTTAAACAAGGACAACTTTGCACTGAAAATTCTACACACTCTTCGAACGACGCAATTTTGAGAACTTCTTTCTAAAATCGACAAGTTTTCCTAATAAGTAAACCGGTGCCGCATCGCAAATAAATATACATATCATTTACCGTCATACAGCCGAGGCTAGATGTAGGGTACCGGAATCTGCCGGGGTTTGCCAAGTGTTTTACAACACTATTAACAACAATTGAAATATCTATTTATATCTTAAGAGAAGAAAATAATTAATGTCAACATATCAATAACACACATATATATATATATAGGTAACAATTTCTCTAGTTTCATTTACACTGGAAGGAGATAGACCATTAAGATATATCCTCCTGGCAACGTTATAAGTGAATATATGGTCACAATTTCTCTAAATTTCATTTATACGAGAGTTGGGATTGAAAGGACAATACCTCCACAGATCCTCCTTGTTGGAAGTGAGGAATATGGTCACAATTTCTCTAAATTTCATTTATACGAGAGTTGGGATTGAAAGGACAATACCTCCACAGATCCTCCTTGTTGGAAGTGAGGAATATGGTCACAATTTCTGTAGTTTCATTAACACCAATGGGTGACTTTGTGAGGACAATATATCGACACAATTTCTCTAGCTTAAAAGGACAATAGCTCAATAGATCCGCTTGAGGTATCAGTGGGGTTGAGGGGATCAAGATCGGCTTTAAAAAATAACATACAGTCACAATTTCTTTAGTTCATTACCACAGACAGAAGGACCATAGGTTCCTCTATCCTCCAAAAGGTTTTTGTAGGGGATCAGAGTACATCTTTAAAAATACACTATCAACAATCTATATATCTTTCTTCAATATAATATAATATTTAATATCTTTTATAATCTACAAGTTAAATGGAGGCTATAAATTCATAAAATAATAATAATAATATCAATATACAGTTTATTAGCGAATTCCATTTCCTACAAATATGTACACTATCAAGAAATGTGGACTAAGGGATAAACTGACAACAGCAAAGGGATGAAGCTGAAGAGTGTTGGTTAAATGTTTACACCTGCCCCTGAATTAATTTCTAGTTTTTCATAAAATGTTTTTTCCATAAACAATCCATTTTCCTGCATTATTAAATCAAATATTTTACAAATAAAATTACAAATTTTTTACAAAATAAAAATCAACAGAAGTCTTGTAAACAATATATAATCAATTCTCAATATCAATATGTTAATTGAAACAACAACAAAGTAGTTTTGGCGATTCCATGTGATAACTGGCAATTTTAAAATTAGTTTAATCAGAAAATAAATGATTATTTATCTTAATTAGTTCTTCAATCATGATGATCAATACAGGCAAATATCTACCAGATATACAACTGCAATCACTGTAGATAAACAATTGAAAACACAGAAGATAAGCAACTGCAATCGCAGGAGATAAACAACTGCAATCATAGGAGATAAACAACTGCAATCGCAAGAGTCACCAACTGCAATAACAGAAATAAACAACTGCAATTGTAGGAGATAACAACAGAAATCCCAAGAGTCAACGACTGCAATAACAGTAGATAAACAGCTGCAATCAAAGGAGATTAAAAAATAATCCTGCAATAACAGTAGATAAACAACTGCAATCACAACAGCAACAAATCTGATTTTAGAATTGAAATACAGCTGTTGTTATTGTTACAGCATTGCTCTGGCTGGACAGATATTTACAATAATTCAAAATCAATAATGAAGCTAAATAATGTAAAATAAATATAATTATATTTTCCAATTAAATCATAGTTTTAAATCATTCAATTCATAAACAAAAATAAACAAAACAAACAAAACAGACTTTTTTTCTATAAAAAAAGAAGCTTTTTTTTTTAGTGGACCATGAAGAATAAATAAAAAGATAGGCTGCCATGCAACGAAACATACACCCATAGGGGGGCATATAAAAAACACACAATAATGATGCAAATAATACAATGAATGCCAACACAAATGTCTTAATTACTAAAAATGACCTTTAAAAAATATGATACATACAGCACTATATGATTTATTTTTTATCAAATTCAATCTTTCATAGAAACCCATGGTCACTTCACAACATGTCGAATAGGTATACAATATATGATGAAAACATTAATTACAACCCAGTATAAATACTGAATATTTGTCTGATGTTGTTTTTTGATGTAGATTATCAATATGAAACAATATATTTGTTTTTAATTATCAGGCATCCAGAATCGATATGTTTACAAGAAAGGATGGGTTTCCATAATTGATAACATCTAGTTTTGTTTTTTTTTCTTTTTAAAGAGAACAGGCTTGCTTTATTTATTTTTAATGCAAACAATAATGAAAAGCCACAAAAAATTTTAAAAACAAAAAATACTCAGTTGCTTTTTGCAAAAGCTATAAGTTCAAATTCTTAAGTTTTGAAATATTAATCAAGATTCATAATACACGAGTGACTATCTATTTATCAAAATTTAATTGCTTTGGCCTAGGATTGATTTGATATAATATACAGTTTTATTTAGGGATAGTGCTACCATCCTTGTTTTACAAGTAATTTCAATTTGAATTTTGGTACCAGTGGCTTTATTCATGAAAATATTTCAAAGATGCCTCAATTTCACTGCCTAAAAGCTAACATCTGTATTGACATTTAACAATTTAATCAATGAAAAAGCTGTATTCTTCAAATAGTTTCATTTCAAAAGTCTCTGAACATGATTTGACGGATTATTGAATCTCTTGGTGAAACTTAAGTTTCGGAAAAGAAATATCAGTCCAAAAATGGTTCAATTCTATTCAGAATTTACAAAGCCTTGAGGAACTGATTCAGTTGAAATCACTCCAGGATATTATCTACAGTTCATAATGTAAAGTAATAAATAGCACTATTCTGAAAATAACAAATACATTATATCTCACCAAACTATTGTAAATTAAAGCGAAACTAGAAAAAAAAACTCAAACAGTTATCATTAAAATAAATATAACAAAAATCACAAACAATGCTTTCCCCCTATTCTTGTCAATATTTGGTTTGAAGCAGATAAATGTACAATGAATCTGATGTAATTATCAGTTCTATAAGTGAACTATTATTTAATATGGCATTATCAAACATCGTCAAATACATAGAAACCTTTTAATTGGTTGTATTCCAATTAAACAAACCAATCAAATCATTTGTGATACTTATAAAGGAAGATAAAAAGGTAAATTTGATTGGTGGACAAACAACAGGAAATGGCATAAACATATGAATTGTTTAAACCTAATTATGAAGTAAAAACTGTAATGTAAATAAAAACTTGGAATAAAGACTAATTTTAAAGCACATGATGTATCTTATGACCTTCACCTTAACGTTGAGAAGAAAGCAGCGAGAGAAATTTACCCAGTGATCTAAATACATTTCATACATATAATATTCACCTTTGATTTTTTTAACCCTGAATACAAACAATACAGATGATATGTGAAGTGTTTTTGAGGCACATCATTGGCTTACATTGAGGAGATGGATTTGGTTGAAATATTTCATCGATTTGTGCTAGCAAAACATGTCGTCAAATGTCATCACAAAAGAAAAAAAAAAGCCATATACAAATTTTTTACCTTAAAGTCTCTGAACATCATTTGAGGGATTGGGGAATCCCCTGTAAAATACAATATTAAGAAAAATAATCTCTAGAAGAAAGTAGAAGGAATGCCAGTCCAAAAATGGTTAAAGCGAGAATTTCATATTTTCTAAGAGAGTCAAAACATAATTATTTCTATGTCTTTTGCTCAATAGGTTATCAACTCACTATTTTACGATCATAGGCATTATTTCCCACACTTAAAAATCATTGACACAGGAAATAATAACACAATTACCTCCCTTGTTTTCCTATACCCCTCATGGAATAGCTATCTTCAAACGTTTGAAAATGGTATTTTTGCTAATTTCTAAACTGTCAATAGTTAATTATAGGATTCATAGGATTATTCTTTAGCAAGGTAGGACTGTTTATAGATACCATCTATTTTAAGGCTTTATTTTAATAAATTTTAAAAATATAACTTAAAAATATGAAATTGTAACTTTAAATTCTGTCTAGTTGTAAATTTTGAAACATTTGATATTTTGATAAAAATGGAAATAATAATTTTGGGATAACATCGACCCATATTTTAGCTTAGAACTAGAACTCTATAATCATCAATGCCTCCAACTTAATGCCAAATAAAGTGTATGAAAAACTCAAAATGTTGTTTAAAGTATTGTGTCTGCCAAGATGCATCTTACGTGTGTATAGTACAGTTGAAGGATATGAATCAATATACAAAATAAATTAACACTGGCCAGAGGTTGTTAAAACTGAAATGCCATACTTGGAATACTGGTATTGTAGGAAAATGTTATATCAAACAAAACAATTATTAGCAAATGTTCTATATTCCCAGTTGTATACTAATACTCTCAGTTTTTATATTTCGAATGGACTTGAAAGTAACATTATAGCTTAAATACATGGCCCATATATTTCTTAATGTAAATAATTTTGCTTAAACTAGGTGTTTTAAATTGTTTGGGCACTGACTCAGAATAAAACATGATACAATTATATGGAAACTAAATGAAATGTGGTTTAACATTCTACTTTTTTTGCACAAACATGGCTGATGCAGACTTAGTGTGCTATCTGAGGAATTTTGACTGGACAGCAGCATTTCGATCTAGAATTCGTTGATTTCAACTGCCAAGTGTTCATTTATGTACACAGCCACCATCCAAGTTTTTATATTTTCATCCAATCCAAACAACTGTGCCGTGCCACAGACAAGAGGAAACCAGATTGGAAAATGAGTAACTTTCTTAGCTAACACATGGATTGAACTCACTGAGCCATTGTGGCTCCGACAATTATATGAAATTGTATGCCAGAAATAATTATCCAAGTAACTTGTATTCCATATAATTCTATCATATTTTAATCAAATTTTATAGCCTAAGATGAATTAATGACATACAACAAACCCATTGTATATATAACAACCAAGAAAAAAGGAGATCTAAATAATAATGTTCATAATATTTAATTTTGAGATCAAAATTTGGCTTAGTGATATCTGGAGAACTATTCGACATTGTTTCTGTATTTTTATCTCAAAATATGCATAACATTCTCCCGGCAAAATAAAACAGTTTGAAACCAAAATACAATATAGAGTTATTTCCCTTACCATTCGACATTAACAGATAATTTGTACAATAGACGAGAATTGTTAATGACTTTTTAAAAAAAAAGTCAACACTCCTCTCATGAAAGTAATTATGGATGTGTGAAACAACATTGTTATTTTGTACTTTTATCAAAATAGACGAAAATTGTTAATGAGTTTTAAAAAAAAGCCAACACTCCTCTCATGAAAGTAACTCTGGATGTGTGAAACAACATTGTTATGTAATGAGAATTACAAAAGCTGCCATCATTATGATATAAAATAGTAATCATATCTAAAACTTAAAGGACAACCTAACTTAGGACACAAAGTTTGTAATATCCTGCATTCAAATATCAAGTCCCTGTTCTAAAACAGATATTGGGCAATCAGTATTTCGTATAGATGTACAGTCCAATGTAATTTACAATAGTTTCTATATTCAAGCCATAAAATCCTAACTGATTGACCACATCTGAATGACAAGAAAAAGCTGGTCGTATTGTAGGTACTTAAATATTGCTTTCTTAGTTAATCTTCGATATTCCACCCTGTAGTCCCAGCAGTTGTTGTCAGGTTGCTTGTACTACAGACAAACATCATGCAGACAAATCTGGCCACTTGGGTTCAAACGATAAGCCACATTTCACTGTGATGTTTTAAGCTTTCTTGTGTCCAGTTAAATTCTCCTTTAATTTTACTGATGATGTATACAGATGATTTACATATGATTGACAGGTAATGCTACAGAAATATACTTCTTATTGTGATAATCAACTTGACAAATAACTCTTGATCTTGAAATTTGTAGATCTATTAAATCTACTACGGGCTTATTAATTAACAAGGTTAGAAAAAAGACACATGTCAAAGTCATTGTCAGGCACGAATTCAGACAAATGTTTGACTGGCACTTGCCAATCTGTTTGAAACAGATTTGTCTTTTTTAGTGCATTTATTGATATCTATAATATGTGTTGTTGTTGACCCAAAAAAGTTCATCCGTGCCTAACATTTCGTCAGATATATCTAAAAACATCATTACAAGGCCTAGGTCTGTAAGTTTACAAGAGTTAAGATTAATTATAACACAAAACTGAAATGCTTTCATAACAAAATCATGCATTTGTAAAAATTTCAGATAGTTTGAAGAATGTTTTTCAAAAATTTCATTTGTCAATTTACAAACTGAGTCGATTTATCACTATCTATCTAGACATTAATTTTATAAAATTGATTTTTTAAAACGATATCCATTTTCTCACATCTGATCTGTACCATTGTACAACATGTTATTTAAAGTTTTAAGACTTTGAAATTGAGAAATGTTACATTCATGTTTTAATGCTGCATGTGTTCGGGTTTAATTGAGGAATTTATTCTCAGAAGATATCAAGTGGATGCAAGTGAAATATATTTGGCTATGTTTCTGATAATCTACAGTTTCAATATCCTTATAAACTACAAGTTTTTGATCTTGATTCCAAGCATATGTAAGTTAATTCAGTCTATTTATATCTATCTAAAATACTGCACCAAATGTTCATGTACCTGGATAAATCATAATACATTTAAACTAGATCATGGCAAGGCTAAAATAAAGAAATCATATTTTATAGCTAGCCTAAATTGTAACCTTTGTGTGAATTGGATACAGGAAACTTTAAGTAGACATTTACTGTTTGTATTAAATCTAGGCTGTAAACATAGGCAAGGTTTACATCTTATCCCTTCTAGGTAATTTTGGTATGTAGGGGAGGGGTTATGTCTTATCCCTTCCAGGTAATTTTGGTAAATTTCTATCACCATCTTGAAGATTTGTCAATTTTTGTAAACATCCACTAGGTAAATTTTCTTATTAATAATCTTGGAACTTAAAACGCTTTTTGTAAATTCTTAACAATTTTGAAGCCTATTGGGTGAGGATTTCAGTCAGACCTTTTAACGATGTTATTTCCATACATAAAATTTATCTATCTGTATGAATACTTATCAGATGCCCACCCATATTTATCAGAAAATACGAGTCCATTTACTAGTGACGATAAATAGACAATAATGTAGTTATATATTAAATAACATTCTTCAAGTTGTATTTCAGAGTGAACTAACTATTTCACCTAGCTATAAAAATGCACCATAACATTGTTAGTATTTTCTATACTCATAACTAATAATAATAATAATAATAATATTAAACAATAATAGTTAATAATACACACTCTATAATTAATTGCCGTCATATCTAGAAATATCAATTTAACGAAATAACAACTTTGATTATCATAGTAATAGTAGTAATACATGAGGAGTCTGAGAGCATGACACTGTGTTATAAACCTCAGTGCTTTCTGTGTTTCCTCAATGTTTCTGACATGTATATAATATACAATTAGGATATAAACAATATACATTAGTAACTCACAATCTTCTGATGTATTTCTCTATACAATATAATGTGTAATGTATACAATGTATTATATGTATATATATGTATATATGTATAGGTTACAGTATATACAAATTATTGTTTTACCCTACACTACTGTTTAGATATATTTAAAATCATGTTTTGTGTTATTTCTTGGTTTAGTTTGTAGTGCAATGATAGAAATGTTTCTCTTTTTAAATTATCTCCCATACTTATTTCTGGAGTTCATTTTCATATAGCTATTTGTCACGAATCACAAGTCATTATTTATTTTGGTTTTAATACACCTCAAATTCTGTCCTCACACTTTTTTTTAATAGTGTCTGCACGTCAGTTAATACGTAACAATTTTAAAACCATATTAGCGAAAACAATTCAATGTTTTTATATATATTACATATATATAATAGGCCTACTGTTTAAAGTTAAATTCTGTACTATTTCTTCTTGGAGTGCAACATTTCCATTAGAAGTGTTTGATCGGGTACCTCACCAATCATGTGTTTGTAATACATGAACTCCTCCGCTCGTATACTGATCAATCGAATTTCCGGGAGACGCAACAGAATCTGTCCAAACTTGTCTTTCATATCAGGGTAAAAGTTAAGGCAGTACTCCAACAACGAGGCATTCACTCTTTCCTGACTTTGTTCGACAAATTGTCGGTTTTCTAGTCCTGAGACATCTGAAACAGATAAATGTTGAGAACTATTTCATATAAGTTCTTGATGGAAAACAAAAAGGTGAGAAATATCTGAAATAAAGATACCTGTACTCATCACAGCATATACGATATAAAAGAAATGAAATAAAATGGGGTTTAATGTCTAATTATTTTGCACCAACCATTCTACGATATTATGTCTTAACTTTGCTGAGCATGATAAAAAAAAACACCTCTACTGTCGTGACTTTGTTGAGCAATGAGCATGATAAAAAAAACTATAATGTCTCAACTTTGTTGAGCATGATACAAGTATAAGGCCATACCTTTTTGAACACAATTAAAAGTTGAGTATGAAAAAGAAATCTGATGTCTTACCTTTGTTGAGTATGATAAGAATTTGTTCATAACAAGTATCTTAGCATTTTTGAGCATAACAAAAATTGAGCATGATAAAAAAAAATGTCTTAACTTTGCAGTGCAAGATAAAAGTTTAAGGCTTTACATTGTGTTGGATACAAAAGAAATCAAATGTCTCAATGTTGTAGAGTATACTGCCTATTGCAGGCCTTTCTTTAGGCCTTAACTTAAAAATATTATTAATTAAACACTCATAAACACGACAAGACAATAATAAACTCTCGATGCCATCTGATGGGTCCGATTTTCAACAGATTTGAATCCGATCAGCGGTTCAACACCTGTTGATGATTAACCATAAAAATGGATAATCAAGACTTTGTTTATTATCCTAACAAATGGTAACAATGACAATCGAGGCTACAGTGTTATTATTACATAATGCCACTCTAATATAAAGTCTTACCTGGCTTAAAGATGATAATAATCTAAGGCCTTACCATTGAGCATGATTAAAAGTTCAGGCCTTATCTGTGTTGGTCATGATGCAAAAAATAATACCTTACCTGCTAAAATCCTAATGTCTTAACATTGTTGAGCATGATAGGAATTAAAGGCCTTACCTGGGTTGAGCAAGATAAGAAATTTAAGGCACGCATATTCATGGATATCAAGTTTCAATTCTTTCGTCTTCTTGATAAGTTCAAAAAGATGTGTTTTCAAATCTCCTAAACCTAATTTATCTAAGATGTCCAAGTTGATTTTTTGTCCATTAGCCTGAAAGGAAAAAAAAAAGCAATATTAAAAACTGAAATTTCCATTCTCTTTTGTTAATTTCCATTCTCTTTTGTTATTTTTTAAATTATAAATGTGGTTTTTATTTAATTTACTAATATCAAAATAATGCTAGTGAAACCAGTTACGATGATGATGAAGATTATGGAACTGAGATATTAACAATCATTAACATACCAATATAATTTCGTTGCTCCAACAATCATGAACTTGTCGATAAACAAAGTCAAGAAATAAAATTTCACTCCAAGAATTCTGAAGAAGTTTCATCTGATCTTCAACCTATAATAGATATAAATAATCAGAATCAAATATTCATATAGACTTAAAACACTTGAACATTAATCAGTCAAAAACACTTTCAGTATCACTCAGTCAAACTATTTGAAGTAGGCCTAAAACAGTCAAAAGAATTGACATTAATCAGTCAAAAGAATTAGCATTAATCAGTCAAAAACACTTTCAGTATCACTCAGTCAAAACATTTGAAGTAGGTCTACAGTCAAAAGAATTGACATTAATCAGTTAAAAGAATTAGCATTAATCAGTCAAAAACACTTTCAGTATCACTCAGTCAAAACACTTGAAGTAGGTCTACAGTCAAAAGAATTGACATTAATCAGTCAAAAGAATTGACATTAATCAGTCAAAAACAATACATTTGAAAATCAGTCAAAATGATTGAAGTTAATCAGTCAAAAAGATTGAAGTTAATCAGTCAAAATGATTGAAGTTAATCAGTCAAAATGATTGAAGTTAATCAGTCAAATACATTTGAAGATCAGTCAACAGAACGGAAGTTAATCTGTCAAAAAGATCAGTCAAAAGAAGGGAAGTTAATCAGTCAATAACTACTTGCAGTATATCAGTCTACTCTTCATTAAATACATGTACATGAAAGTTTACATGCAACAGGTACAGTTGGACCTCAGATTTTCCTTTCTACCATCTGATAGGGTACCCCATGATAAAAAAATATCTCCAAATATTTTGACAATTATACCACAATATTTATATAACAAGTTATAACAATTTAAACATCAATAAAAAATAGACTTTAAAGGTAAACGACAAGCAGTGCCCTTGGTTTGAAATTAAATCAGTCTACTGACCGTTCTCCAGCTGATTGAAAGGCTGGGATAATCAAGACATTTGAAACATTACAGAAAGCTACATCAATAAATCTAATTAGTAACTCCTAATTAAGGCAACTTAACAATTGTTTTTGAGAACCTTGTAAAAGCAATAATAATATTCTATTCTTGCCTAACCAGGGAGCTTCAGAGATATTAACTGTACTAAACCAAATGATGCTGCTCTTATGGTATAGTTAATAATAAAGCAAATTAAAAAACAAAACAAATGTAATTTTTTGTGTGATGGCTATTTATAGCATAATAGAACATACATGTGCTGCATGTCTACATTGTAATCACTTGGCAACTTGTCATTTGAACATGAACATTCGCTGCTGTGAGTTCAACTTTTAATAGTGCAAATTTTGACTGCATGGGGCACCCTAAATCTGTTCAATAAGGCAATACTGGGCCATTCTAGTGGAGATAGTGTCCTTAATATAAGACTAACAAAGTCCTCTGTTAAAATAAAGTTTAAAGAAAAATGAAAACCCCCCAAACCCCCACCCCAAAGAGATATTTGACCTTATAACTTACCCGCATTTCTTTGAAAAACACAGAACTTCTTGCCCACTCCACCATCAAAAATAGAAGCTGATCCACCATCTTACACAAAACATGTAAAAACTGCACAGGATTATTAACCACATTTAATTGTCCAAATTCAGCTCGCATAAAGTTCAAAAGCTTATTTTTCACCTCAGATTCCTCTGATAAACCAGATTTGAGATCAGCCACCAACGGCGGCACTGCTGGTGTGAAAGGCTGAGGGGGCAGGGCAGTAGGTGGGTAGGCCCGTAAAGCATCAATCATAGATGGGAAGGAGTGTGATATCGCGTACGAATCGTGCGTGGACCTCGCAGAGTGAGGATAAGTTGATACTGGACTGGTAATGGTATGGGTGCTAACACTACTAGTGCTTGTATGACTCGTGCTGCACGTGTGAGAGGTAATCGCTGGTATAGAGGTGGAGTTGGAGGAGGATATGATTGGAGAACTTAGACTGAAGGGGATTCCCGAACTGGACGTTATGTGTGTCGAATCGTGATGTGAGTGACGCGACGAGTCTTCGGGTGATGCCGGTAAACTCGGAATGCCGTTTGGTAAATGCATGGAACAGTGGGAGATAATCTGCTGTTGTTGACGTACTGCTTGCTGTTTGATGGCTCTGTCTCGCTTGTACATGGGACCAAATTTGTTTCTTCCTCCTCTCATTCGGTCTGATCTGACGGCTGAAAAAAAAAACAGATTAGCAATAAAATAATAGTTAGAAGATCACCTGGGTTAAACCATTACATCATTTCAGACCCACGGGACTGCAAGGCGCCGTGGACGCTTATGGCTGGCCTCCAAATTCATTTATTTGATTTGATATTTGTTGTTTATTTCATGCAACGAATGTCTACATGTACAATGTATATAGTTTGTCTTGTCAAAAGGTTGGTCTTGTCAGTTTTGTTTTGTGCACATGTAGTAGGGTCCTCCTGCACCTATTATTAGAAAGAGTAAGTAAACTTCGCCTCATGCAGAAATTTCATTTATTTCTGTTTGAGGAAAAGGGTTTTGTATATATTTTGAAGACAAACTTAAGTTTAGACAGGAACTCTTCTGATTTTTTTTTTTAAATTGTAAATGTCAAATTTATAATTTTATTGTATTTTCTTGTTTGGTGTTTGTTTGAATGAATTTTAATGAATGATTTGTCATTAATTATCTGACAATGTATATAAACATATTTATATATGAGAAAATCACTCGTTCTTCTTATAATGACCATAAAAGGAAAAGATTTGCAAAAATTCTCAGACTAAGGTTTCATAGATATACATCTGTTACATTTCATGTTACCAAATATTTCCATTTTTTCTCTCTCATTCATATTTATTTATGGAACTGTTGAAGAACTCATATTTAAAGTTATCATCACCCATTCTTGTTATTCTGACCATAAAAAGAAAACATTTACTGAAATTCTCTGAATCACTTTCGGTTTCAGAGATGTACGTACGGACAAATTATTTTTTCAAGGAGTGATGTTTTTAGGAAAGTAACTTCTCCATTAATTATTATTATTATCTATCAGATTATTTGAAAGTAATGTAATGGGCTAGCAATTTGCACACGTAATTGTACGTCCGTTACTACATGTGTATGTATGTCCGTCACCACAATAATTTCTAATTTACTGGGTTACAAGAATCCAGATGTGAGTAGTGATCGTAACAGTACACAACATGTATAGTATTAATACCCTTTTTCACAAGGACAATTCACTGAGATTTGCCAATATGTTCATGCAGGAAAATCATAGTGTTCATTTCTGTAGTCTGTTGCCTATACTGTGAGGAGTCAATATTTATTTCCGGTGTTTATGAACAAATAAAATCATATGTAAATTGACACTTAAAGCATCTGTTATTAATGCTATATAAAACCCAACAGTTAATTATTGATGGTTACACTGTGATAATTAGATGTTTAAAACCAAAAGTTCAAAAGCAATTATTTTCACACAATTTGATTAAAAAAACATACTGGATCCTATTTCATTTCATTTTTTATAGTTAAAATTTTTGTTTTACTTGTCTTCACAACACTAGGATCTGGAAGAGTTGTTGTAACCTGCGTTCTAGTTGAAATGATCTATTAGTCAATGAAACAGTCTGTTATGGCACAGGAGTCTGACTTATCCGTATATATATGCATACACCATATGTCCAACCAGACAATATATAATAAGAAAAGAACAGGAATGCAATGCCTGTTGAAGACTCGATTTTACCGGCTCTCGCTTTGGCTCATTTTTTTTTTCAACCATTCGTAATGTCAGGCAATCAAACCTCTGTCGATTCACTCAGATATGTTTTTTCTTCAATCTAGTCGTTTTAATTTGCATAAATACTCCCACAAAACGATATCATAGCCACTTGTTTCCAATATTTACATTACTTTCGTCCATTTCCATTTTGTCACTGCTGCCATGCGCATATAGGGAGATAATTAAAGCAAGAATTGCATTTTATAAGTCATATGTTTAAAATATGAAAATAAAGCCTTAAAATACATGTATACACACAGTCCTACCTTGTTAAAGAATAATCCTAAATCATATATAATTCACTTGTGTCGGTGGAGAAATTGGCAAATGAAATATATCATTTTCAAATCCAACATAGACTTTTAAGGTGCTACATATCACGTGTGCAGCTTTGTAAAGTCTCACTCAACCAGGCATCATTATCCTTATTCCTTATCTGTTTAATCACATATCTTGACAATCAAGACAACCCTCTCTTCCATTGTGTAGACTTAGTTATCCAATGAAAATAAATGATACAATTTCCAAATGTGCTAAAATGATTCTTATGATTGTCTAGTAGTGATTTGACAACTTATGAAGTAATAGATATAGAAATAAATATGTTTTGACTTTCTTAGAAAATATGCAATTCTCGCTTTAACTCATCAAAAGTTTTAATTTTTAATGAACTAAAAAACCCCAAAGAAATACCATCGACAAACTAAAATATCATGATTTATTATACATGTAGTTTGACAGACATCTTAGTAATATAGGTCATATATGTTATTTTATTATTTCAAATTCGTTTTTTAATATCGACCTAAATTTTAATATTCATATTAAAGATGCATTATGACATTATCTAAGAGCTAAATCTGTCTATTGTATGTCTTTATTTTGGCTTCAAATGTTAAGAATTCGGACACTAAATCCCATTTTAATTAGTTTTATTAACACGACAAGCTCATAATCAACTCTCTAGATCATTGAATGGCAGAGATTTAAATGAATTACAACACCCATAAGTTTATTAAGTAGACAATCGAAACCTGAGCTGTCAGCTCTTTATCTAAACCTTATTTACATGTAATGCATCTTTTAAGTAATCTATATGAGATTAATGTCCTACTGTTCTGCTCCGACTGAGCTAATGAAGACAGGCATATGCCATGCAGAGTGCAACGAGGGAAATTTTGCCCCGGCAGCACTATGGTCTACCATAATATTTAAAGATTATATCATAATACTTCAATCCTTCAGCACTCAGTCAGTACATGTAACAAATTTACTAACCCATTTCCTTGAAGAAAATATGAGAAAAGTTACATATACATGTATTAATACTGAAACCGTTCAAAACTGCTGTTCTTACAAAGTCTATATAACTGCCCAACATATGCCAATAGCTTTACATATTATAGGACCACGTTTCGGGCAGTCTAAGGAGCCCTTAATTAGCTTTTGAAGATGAAATGAAATAAGGTTTAACGTCCTACTGTTCTGCTCCTATTACATCCACCATGCAGTGTGTTATGAGAGAAATTTTGACCAGGCAGTGGCGCTATAGCCTACTCTTATTCTGAATTCCAACTCCTAAGGGTTTTATAAATGGGAACCACACTGGAAAATCCTGATGAACTTTCTAGGCCAAGCAGGCATCGAACACAAGGCCTCCAGGTTAGCGAGTCAATCTCCTACTCACTGAGCTACTGTGGCTTAGAATTTTTGAGACAAAAAATAGTTAACCTGTCAGTTCATTGAATTATAACCTAGGACAGGCCAGTCAGCAATTAATCTGTTAATTGGTTTTTTTTTTAACAATCTGATTAAAATACGGTGGACTCTGTCACATCCGACATCTGAATACTATGACATTCTGTGAAATCCGACATCATTTCATCCCGATTTATTTCCTTATTACTTTAGCCAAAAAAGCTTTGATTAATCCGTATTCTGAATATTCCGAATTACTACATCAATCAGCTGTCCTGTCTCACGATTTCCATTGAATCAACATTGTATAATCCAGCCTTCAAGCCTCAAAAGATTAACACGTAATCACCAATCAATTATCGGTGAGATTAAAACTCGCTCGCTTAGGTCTTTTTTGATTACTTTGATAATTTTATAATCTCTTGTAAAACAGTTGTGACAAATACTCAAGAATACTGACAAATTCACGGTCGTAAAAATAGTCCTAGCACCTGTTGGAAACATTCGTTGCGCATGCCGATTGAACTCGAATACCTCAGTTTGTTCGCCCTACGGATCTCTCCGAACCGTGTGACGACGACCTGGACAGATTATCAATGAACATGTAACAGCAAAGACAAGTGTGCAATAAATATGCATTGTTATTGTTAGATATTTTAATGTAATAAAATTTTGAAGGTTTATCATTTTTTAAAGGGCCGTTCTGGGGATTCAAACCTACATTATAATAATACTTCCGGTATTCGAATTTACAATAATACTTCCGGTTTTGAGAAAACTGAGTATTCTGACACTCTGCGTAATCCAACATATTGCAATGATCCCGTACGGATTTGACTGAATCCACTGTACAGATCTATATTTCGCTTCATCTTTTTTTATACTTTCGATGGTATCTACTACATGTACATCTTACCAGTTGTAGTGGGAGGTCACGTTAGGGGTCATGCAAGGGCTTTTGAGCCTATGATGTCAGACATTTGATTAACCAATCAGCATTAATGTGTTTAGTAGGATACCAGAGTTCTGTACATCGCACGTCAAGAACTGGCTGCAACAGACTGTTTCATTGGCTAATCCCTCACATCAACCAGAACGCAGGTTATATAACAACTCTTCCAGTTACTAGTGTAGTACATATAACTAAAACAAAATTTTGAACTATAAAAAACTAAACAAAATGGGATCTGTGTTTTAATCTGATTGGGTTTTTTTAATATTATCTTAATTGTTTCATGACAATAATAATTTGGTTAGTTATGGCAACACTTTCTGAGCTTGTAATTTGGATAGGGATCCTGGGGCGTGTTTCACGAAATTTTAACTAAAAAAAATCCAAATTTTAGTAATTTGATTGGATAATATTAGACTAATTTTAGTGCTTAGCCAATCAAAATTGAAGTATCTACTAAAATTTGGATTTTATGTTTAGTTAGGATTTCGAGAAACAGGGCCCTGGCTGATTTCAGATTGGATTAAAATTTCAAATCGTTTTATTTTTTTTTAAAAATTTATATTCTGTATTACCGTATATAATTTCATGGATTTAATTACATTCAACATTTGACAAGTCTTTTCATGGGGTAGTGTAAGTTACCTTTAGTTCAGTAAGCAACCAATGAAAACAGAGCTATTCCAATAGATTTTAATCAACACACATGTATGACACGTTTTATTTTTGGGTAGTGTACTTCCTCTTATATGGTAAGCAGCCAA